CACCGCTAAATATAAGTCGGAGACCATGTTCACAGAGGATTCAAACATGAGCAGATATTAGCAGTGGGGCGCGTTTACTAGATTTAAAAAGTTCCAAAATGAGTTGCAGATATCTGAAAGGAAACAGAAGAGGAAATTCAAATATCAGAATATGTTAAGGAACGAATTTAATGAGCTCACACTTGCTCCATCTTACAACGCCGAGAAGACACGACCGCTCAACTTTCTCTTCTAAACTTCCTTACTCATCCTCCAGATCTGTGAATCAAAAATTTTTCCAAAGGTTACTGATTTCTAAGATTCAAAACAATATTTTCTAGTATGTCTTATACTTGAACGCCAACTTGATGCTGAGTCGACTTTTATCGAATTGACTCAAGTTGACTTGAAGTCATGTCGGAAAAAACCATCGGCTCTCAAGCATAGTATATCTGCATATGAACTTGCGTGAACTGACGAACAATTACCCAACAAAAATCTGACCCAACTAAATAAATACTTTTATTGTCTTATTCTTGAAAGTAAAACAGAAAATTATGTCAACTAGAAGATTTATCAATTATGAAAATAAAACAGCTTAGAATTATAAAAAATTGGTTCCAACGAAGCCTAAACGAATATAACAAGGATTTGTATACTAAAAGTTGAACTGAAATACCTAATAGGACAGGCCAACCAACCCAATAAGCTCAACAGTAGTGCCACAAAAAGGAACACTTTTGCTTCTTTCCATTAATTTTCTCCATCTCTTTTAAAAAACTAAAAAATCCAAAAATGTAGCAAAATATATCATAAAAGGCATACCTCATATACGCCCTTGCGAGTATGCCGACAATCAGCGAGCAGATAGCAATCACGAAGCGTATGTGCAACCTTAGTGCTCTGCTCTCGGCTCTGAGCTCGGCTTTCTGAAAACTGAAGAAATGATTATACAATCTGATTAACCTACCGTTGCCTCCTGACTAATTTTGGTGTTCTCCTTGAGCATTTTCATCTGCAGTTTTTAAAAATTAATTTTGAAAAGTTTAAAAAAAATGTAATAACATACGTGACTGTTTTCCATTCTCTTGAACATTTCTTTAAGGGTGTAAGAAACAGTAATGTTCTCCTAAACGATACGATTTAATCAGTGAAAAAGTGAAAAAACGCAATGAGCTTCACAGTAATACCACAAAAAGAAACATTATTGTTTTTTTTCATTAATTTTCTGTATCTCTTTCATAAAACTAAAAATCCAAAAATGTAGCAAAACATATCATAATCATAAAACACATACCTCAGATACGCCCTTGTAAGTATGCCGACACTCAGCGAGCAGATCGCGATTACTAAGCGTATGTGTAACCTTACTGCTCTGCTCTCGGCTCTGAGCTCGGCTTTGAGCTCAACTCTCTAAAAATCGAAGAAATGATTATTCAAATTGGATAGCTTACTGTTTTATACTTATTTTAAACAGTAATGAGAATCATTTTTCATGCGAGTGCATGTTCTGCGGTTGACTGAAAAATCAGAATCCGGCAATCAGCAGATTTACGATTTCCTTCCATCAAATTTCGAATCCACGGAGTTCCTAGAAAATCGAAAGATGTAGCAAAACAAATTATACATAAGTGCAATGCACCAACGGAATACAT